CCCTAGTGGCGCGTAGACTCCCAAATAGTCATCGCGCCATACGGCGGTAGCAGCCCTAGTTTCGCGCCATCAGTAGTTTCGCGCCACTACCAAGAACGGTAGTGTATAGGTGTTCTGTGGTGGAACGCCACCAGCGGAGCTATCATCAAAGCTGGTGGCGTTCTCCCTATCGTCATGCACTATCCTCCAGCTTACAGAGACCTCCTCCGACGTGATGCCGTCCTGTGGTACAAGCTTCAGACGGATGTTTTTCCCAAACCCTGGCTTCGTAGCAATGCATACCTATACACCCCGTGACACCATGCTGCAAAACAGTCAGCCACCCTCATACACTTGGCCTGGGTGTGCGCACAGTACGCTGACGCTTCACACACAGAAGATACGGGGTAGCGCCTTCTGCGTACCATCGACTCGGCACAGCAACACCGGTAAATCTCACGCGCATTGGAGGCCGCGGCGCCCAAAGAGATTCCCGCTGACCTCTTTGAGCAGCGTAACAGATCTCTGGGTCGGTCCCCTCTTTTGGGGGAGGGAGTGAGAGATAGAGAAAAGGCATTTATTTGGCCGAATGAAGAGGATGAGATGCGATGCGTGTACATCCAACTTCTGACTAGATCCATGTCGGGACGGGGAAGCCGAGCCTCTTCGCCCTCTCACGGGCCTTCCGGACAGCCAGGAGCTGGACGTCGTAGCTGTGATGTCATTGATGGCAACGGTCCACCAGGCTTCCTGACAGCAGTCCTGAAACGCAGGGCATCGCCAGAGCAAGTGTTTTAATGAGCTTATTTCTCCGCAGTCTGGGCATGTCGGGTCCATATCTCCGCATGTACCATGCTCAAGAAGCTCATGAGGGGTAAGACTCCGTTCGGAGCATTCTCAGCGTGATCGATTGAGCTCTATTAAGTTTATGGTGGGGCGATGGGAAGCACTCGTCTAATGTACCCCTGTAGTGCGAGGTAATCTCGTGAAAAGTGACGAGCGGATCGCTGAACTCGAGCTGTTCCGAACCACTAGAGTGCTCCTGATTGCCGCGGCTTATGAATCATCGCGCACTATCATGAGCGATCTCATTGGGGTTCTGGCAGGCTCGGTATTACGTCCAAACCTGAGTGAGCCGGAAACCTAGATGATGTGGTGAGGTTTGTCGCGCAGGGACCCATGTTTAAGGACCCTAGCTGCCTCTTTTGAGACTTAAACCCGACTTAAAGGCCCGTACAGCCGTTCGGGAGTAAGTGTAAATGGTGGTGCGTTTAGTATCTAGTATAGCGCCATAGCCACCACTACCTGTTGAGCTACTTCTGCCATTGAGGTGTAAAGTGAGGCGGACGAGAGGATGTCTCCTTGGTGGTGCGGAGCCGCCCACTAAGGTGTCTCTCATAGTCATATCGTGGTTTCGGGACGTAAAACCTCCAATACGGCTTGTAGAAATGGCACACAATAAGCCACTCGTCTCATCTCTTCTTACGCTTTAAGCGTTTCATTATTCAAAACAAATCGCAAAACGTAGCCTTGCTACACATTGTCGGGAGCACGCAACGTAAACACTCGAGTATTGTTACGGCCGTCAGTCACTTTATTGCAAGTCACAACCTTCCCCCCTTCGCATGCATATTTCCAGCCCGTCACGGTCATGCCTCAATCCAGTTTTGCTCATGCGCACCAAATGACCCGTTCGACCCCCCCCCCCCCCCCCCCTACTTCCGACATAAAGCACGAATTAAGTCACAATGAGCGACATCAGAACAAACAGTTAAAAAGACAAACGCCCCGGGAAGAGAAGACAGTGAGCGCTTGCTACCAACATGGAAACCGAAACTGATCTCTTGAAAGTCGTTGCGTGGTGCACTTGTGAAAAGCAAGTCGCACTTTATTCAGCAAAAAATAGATCTAACGCACTGATACTGACAACCTGACTAACACGAACGTACTTGCCACAATGTACAATAAACACACACACCAACCGCTTTCATAAAACTACCTTTTTTCCGTTTTGTTTTCCTTTTCCCCCTTTACTTTTTCGAATTAGTACAAACATCTGCCCAGGTGGTCGAAGTAGTTGTGATGACGTAATCGACATTTGTGTCGTGCCATTGGTCGAGCAGTTGCAGTCGAGTTGACATACTATTTTGAAAAATGCAAGTATTTTTGTTTTTTCGTACCGAAGAAATAGAATAGGACGGAAAATATAAACAAGAAAGCAACTAAGTCTGATATTTCTACGGCTACGCAAAAAAATCTCGGACAAGACTACCAGCTTGATGGACTGTTCAAGTGAGGCCGCGTGACGTAATGTCTGCGTAAGTACGTCTAGCATGCTTTCCCCTCCGTCTATTTTTGCTTCATCCTCCATTAAACGCGTTTCTGCAGCGCATAGGCAAGCCGCCACAGAACACCTAGTACAGCACTTGAACTTGAGAGTTTCCGGGGCCTGAAGCCGCGTCTCTGGTTCGGCGTTCGGCCATAGAGTAATACGGTAGGTGTTCCTGTGGTAAACTCTATGGTTCGGCGGCATTTTTGACGGCCACGATAACGTCGATGCAAGGTACGAAAACGCTCAGTTTTACCTACTATAATGCGCGGTATTCTTCTGACTTGTATGCATGCTCGTTTGCAGACACGTGCGTTCGTTACATAGCAACTGGATACGAAAGAAAAAAAAAAAGAATGGAGTGTTTGCGAACTTACAATCGACTGCGCTTTGTCGCTCACTTAGACGCCGTTCGCATCCGATGTCAATTGCCTGTGACTCTGCTTTCCGGTATTTATTGATACGCCAACTGTGACGCGATGCAATAAAATGCGTGCGTGAATATAGCCATGGTTACTTGTGATGGTGATTAGTCTTAGCACGAACGACAGTACGAATTCGTCAGGAGCACGGGCAGTGAACGTCGCGTGATTTGTGGTTAATGGTGTGTTTGTTTTGTTACTGTATAGAGTTTGCGAATGGCATGACGATAGTTATAGCGCGAGAACAAAACGACGACACAGAGACAAGAAGGACACGAAAGACCCTTCTTGTCTCTGTGTCGTCGTTTTGTTCTCGCGCTATAACTATCGTCATGCCATACCAACTAGCCCAAGCTGCCACCCTTCTAAGTTGCGAATGGCGTCGCGAGCTTTGTGGTTAATGACGTTTTTGTTGTCACTGTTGGGATTTTCTAGTAAGTATACCAAAGCCATTTGCACGTGGTCATGTTGGGTCAAACTTGCTCCTGTCCTCGTCCGTCTTTGCGTGTCGTGTTTTGTCGCTTTGGACTTTTCCATGATTCTTTTTTTTAGGGGGGGGGGGGGGGGGTCACTTTTAGTCTTGACCGAAAGCCGTTGCTTTGTGCCGTAATGTTTTCTTTTTTTTGTGTGTGTGCGCGAATATTTTGGGTGGGCTTTATAGGCTCGCGTTGAATTTAAGAAATAGCGCCCCCAGTGCAAAATCCAAACGCTGTTTGCGTTTCGAGCATGTGCAGAGGCCCCGATGATATTTCTTTCGATGCTACTACATTTATTTCTTATGACTATAGCTTTTATTGGTCTCAGGTAAGACTATTATGCAGGGGAGTGTTGTATTGGGTGGTAATCTGTTGACTTGATCATCATCATAAGGTTACTCTGCCACATTTTTCAACTACTGCAGGCTCTAACTCATTTGTTTTCAGTATAGCAGCAGATTGTTACAAGCTACCTGCATTCATAACAGATATAACTGGTACAAACGCATTTAAAAATGTCTTATCAAGCCTACCGCAACGTTACACGTTTGTTTCTTCTGCATTGGTTGTAACTACTTCGAGAGATGCTCTCTAACAGTGCTTTACAAAATTTTTGTAGTTCTGTATGATGCTTCCATTTTACGGTTTACTGTTATTGTGATGCTTTTTTTTTATTTTTACTGTGTGCACCTCACTCCCTCTGTAAATTATTTATTCCCTGAGGGTACAATAAATAAATGAATTGCCTGAGCATAGGTTTTTATTTATAGTATCAAATTTGAAATCAGGCAATGGATCCACTAGTATACTAGTGCATTCTTGTGCTACCGAGTGTTTTAGTGTTTTTGCAGCCGAAGTGTACCAACTCAGTTGAAGAATGTTGAATATGATATATTTTCTACATCAGCAATGACCATGGATCGAGATATGTATTCGACTAGTGTAGTGATATGGACATGTGATATTTGAAACATAAATATAAAGGGTGCCCTCCCCAATCTTTTGCCTCATATTTTGCGCCACTGATGGTGGACGAATCTAGTGGACGCGCAACTGTGCTTTATAAATGCACAGTTGCGAGTTGTGGACTGTTAAAGAGTATATATAGTGACGTGATTTCGAGGCACCTCAGATATTTTGTTTAGTTTCCATGGTGTGCACTATCACCGCCCTGCACACGCTAGAGCCAGACAACACGTATAAAATGTTTTACTTTAAGGCTAACGTTTTCGTCGCGGAGCATCTGCGAGGCAACCCACTGCAAATGGACATTATAAGAAGCCAACGCAGTTCACTGGGTTCGCTAAATGAAATCTGTGCCCTGCAGCATGCAGCCTAAATCGCTGTCAGACCCTGGACGACCATTTCACTCGTCGTTGCTTGCGTGATCCATGTGTGATCTGACTGTAAACTGACAGCTGTTGTTGGCGTGTTGCGAGTTGTAGTGCTCGCGTGACGTCAGAGTTGTGTTGACACGTGTGCGAAGCGCCCCCCCCCCCCCCCCCCCCCCCCTCGATACCGACGTCGAAATGGCCTCTTTGAGGCAGGGGTGTTGGCCCGTGCGCTCAGATTTGGGTGCACGTTAAAAGAACCCCAGGTGGTAGAAATTTCAGGAGCCCTCCTCTACGGCGTCTCTCATAATCGTATGGTGGTTTTGGGGCGTTAAACCGCACATATCAATCTATCGAGGCAAGGGTGTTGAAACGTGTATTCAGTGCGTTCTCATTCTCACGCAAGCACTATGGTATTCTTTTTGAGGTTATTTCTCGCCATCCGCGTTTTTATTTAGATCAACGACACGGAAGTGCGTAGTACAGCGCTCGGAGTGATGGCTGCAACGGCCCAGGATAATCGGCTGGACAGAGCCATGATCCACTACCAGTTCGAACCAGTTCAGTCGGACACCTCGGCGGCGGGCTACGACAGCTACGATGGTGACTACGAGCAAACGGTGAGATTTAGGCATCCTTCAATTATTTAGCTATAGTTTCCTGAAACTAACTAGAGAGGTGTTTGGCGCTGCGATCGTTCAGCGGCCATGGGAATGATCTGTAGTACACAAATTTGCCTAGTCGTCGTGCTGGAGGGCTTTAAACTCGCTTGTCGCGGGTGGCCCCCCTTCATCTCTAAACTCACTTGTCGCGGGTGCCCCCCTTCCCCTCAGAAAGAAAAAAAAATTCTGGCTCCGCACCTGGTGTTCGGTGGATGTAGTATTGTGAGAGTATCTCTGCCACACATCACTCACGTTTAGCATTTATGCAGTATCATAGCGATGAGTCTTATTCGCGCGATAAGGATCATTTAGGCATTCTTAGAAGAAGCGAATTGAAATATATTCTTTGCTGTGTCTAAACAGGCAGTTGCGTGGCGACAACTGCAAACATATACTTATCCGAATCCAGTTCTCTTTAGTCTCTGTTACCCTGATCTGTATTTAACAGAAAAATGCAAGGTTTGCGATGAAAGGGCGACACTTTCACATATACTATGGGAATGCTCGAGTTTAGATGAAAGCAACGATGAAAACCACGAAGAGGCAGTTTCGGACCGCAGGACACGCTGGGAGGGGGCTCTGCTCAGCTCCTCATTCGAACAACAACTGTGGGCCGTCCAGCGAGCCGAGGAAGCCGCCCGAGCCCAAGGGCTCGTGGCCGACGCCTAGGCCCGCCCCAAATCAACTTCGCTGGACTTCATAAATAAAGTTATTCTTCTTCTTCTTGTGTCTAACACTCGCTGAGTATCCTTGCATTCCAAGGAAGCTACAATTTGTTTTTTCAGGTAAAGAAGGAGGGGGGAATCGAACCGTACTTTGTGCATGTTCGTGCTTGCGTTTGTGTGTGTGTTAATTCTTCAGGGGGGCTTGACACCCCCCCTCTCCTCCTTCCCTACCTAACCCCCTTGGCAACGCCTCTGGGGAAGCCTACTTACAGTATTTTGGTGTCTCAACTGCTTTAAATTGCGCGCTCAATCACGAAGCGCCGATTTGGCAGCCTCACAGCTGTGCTTATTGGGCTGTGTACCTATAAATATAATGGTAACGTAGGCATCTTTACGTGTGGCGTACATAGCGCGTTTGTTTTGAGCGGCTTTGAGTCACCCCCAAGTGGCTTTGCAAAGAGGAAAAAGGAAGAAAAAAAGCGCAGTCCCTTCGTTTCGATTGCCCGCTAGAGGGGCTTGGCGTCGGCAGCCCAAGTCGACCAGCGGTGCATGCGAATCCGATCCAATCCAATCCACCCAAGCTCGCGTGGTGTCTGTCCCGCGTGCAGTAGGTCTCACGCGATGTTACTGCCAGTCGTTCGGAACGGCGCGAGTGCACCTCATTGAACCTACGAGGGCTTGCCAGCGAACGAGGCGGCCAGAGCGAGTTGAGAGCTTCGGCCATGAACCACAACACAACTGCGCCCGTGAGTCGAGTGTTATTATTTTAACACACGTCCTCCATACAATGTCCTCGATGCAGTTTTCGTGCGCGAGCGACTTGCTCTGTTTTCCACAATAGCGGAAAACCCCCCTTTTTTTTATGGTTTTCCACGTTGACTATTAGCACGAAGCTTTTAAAGGGTTGCCAGTTGCGGCTGTCATTTTTTTTTTTTCACGGTTGCCTTTTCTCGTTTAGAGTTTTTGTTTTGACGTCCGTCAGTCGCTGTCCACTCGCGCGGTGCATTGCAGTGAATTAATATCGCGAAATGTCGATTGACTGACCTGCCGTGACAGGCTGCTTTTAGCGAGCCTAGTAGTCTGGTCGCACCGACTTCGTGAGTCGGTTAATCCGGGCACCATTAAAGCTCGAGTCATTGCAACCGTCTGCAAGACTGCCAATTTCGCTTCGCTAGAAGGCGGGTTCGATACCGGCAGTGGCGGCCACTTGTCGACGAGGGCGAAATGCCAGAACACCCATGTGCTCCTGACACCGAAATGCCCACAAATAACCGTGCTTTTACGAAAAAAAAAAAATCTGTGAGAAAAGGGCTGATCATTTTCGCTGTTCTTCTAGGGTTCATAAGCAGAAAAGCAAGGAAAAAAATATCAGACGCGTGAAGTCAGTTAGTCGTAATAACTACTGATTTACTCTTGAATCAACTTGTCACACACTGAAACTTCTTTACAGCATGTTAAATATGCAATAACTGCTTTTCTATGAAGACTTCACAGCTTTATCATGATTTTAGAGCTTTTTTTTTTTTTTTGAGGCCAGTCTTGAAATCATATCTTGGTTGCGGCACGTAAAAAAAGCACATAAATTATTACTGCTAGCTTTATTATTATAATTTTATCCTTGCTGTGTCTGAAGACGAAACACTAGGTCACTGCAGAAGTTGGGTCTTCACGCATTATCATTTTACTGGTGTTGCATGTTTGTGCAAGTGCCCCTAATTCATTCATCCTAGATACTACGCCTGCATGTGCTCTGTTCTGAGTCTGCGGTATCCTGTAAATAAATGGCACGAAAATGCGGCATTATATTGTGTGTTTATGCTGCACTATTGCACTTGCAAAACCCCGCAGGAGATTGTGTAAAGGTCCGGTCATTAAGGACTAAAGACGTCGGCTTGTTGTCTGCAAGCTGCTGCGTTCATTTTGCACTAAAGTTGATGCTTGTATTTCTAGGCAACCACGCATTTATACGTTTATCACGAGCGTATTCTTGTGTGTAGGGAGTTGTTTTGCATTGCTAGAATGGCAACCACTCTGCTCGGCTGCCAAATTAGTGTTTTCTGTGACCCATCCCCTCGATAAAAGCTAACCTCTAACAGCAAAAGAGGCCTGCACCATTTTTTGCCTGGCATTTCTAAACTGCTGTCATGCAAGGCTAGAATGGCTGAGAGCTTAACTAATTAATCAGTAGGTTTTCATCTTAGAAGCTAGGAAAGCAAACGCAGATGTAGGAAGGATGTAAAGACAACACAAACACTATTTATGCTTGCTTTGTCTTGACATCCGTGTTTGCTTTCTTAGCCTTCTGAAATAAACACCTGCCAATCAGTTAAGCCGTCATTCTAAGCTTACATGGTGTTTGTGTTGTCTTGATAACACAAATGAAATTCTGTTTGCTTGTGTCTTTGTGCTCATGTCCAATCTTCCAGCATGCTGTCATCCATCTAGGCTGCAACAATTCTCTTGTTGTGGGCATCTGTTGAGGTGTCACTGACAAGTGCCGGGAAAGAGGCGTGTGTGCATGGAAGACTGGTTCATCTTCTTGAGTGTCTCACTCAGAAGTGATGTAGTTGCCAGTTTTTCTTGGTGTGATGATGCAACTGCACTGAATGTTAAGTCTTTTGAAAAACATCATAGGCAACAAAACAAAAAGTTGGACTTATGGTGTGGATTTTTTGATCAGTACCTGCAGAGGTGTACATAGTTTTCTAATATTAACTCGAGTGAACTCTGGCGCTGCAATCATTCAGCCACCAATGGGAATGATGGTTAGCGCACAGGATGTTCCTAATATTCGTGCTTGCGGCTTCGAATGCACTAGTGGCTTTGTTTATTGTTGAGTTTCGGCAGTTTTGTTTAGGATAAAAGGAGGAATCATTGTGAACTTCGTGAGCTGAATTGAATTGGTGAGCCCTAAAAGAAATTAAGCCGGTGAAGTGGAACTGCTAAACAGTTTCCGGAACTTCGTCTTGTGACAAACCGGCTCCGAGCCTCACAAGTTCGAAAGAATGCAATTTAGAAAAATCCCTGTACTACCCATAATTTTTATGCTCGCTAGATTGCCATGTGTTGCAGCTCCCACAGATGCTAGTCAGAGTTCCCTCTCTTGCATTTTTTAGAGCGAACTCTTTGGCGGTAGAGTTTTACCATGTATAGAAACATGGGGACGCCTGTGTCAATCAGCCTTCTGTACCGACCTTTAGACAACGCAGTTCAGCTGTAGGAAAGGGGCTGTAGGAAAGTTACAATGCCTGTAGCTAGCAAAATCTAACTGCATCTAATTTCTATATTATTAAATAAACACCTTCCAAACTGCATTACAGAAAGGCCCGCATGACGTAACTATTCTCTGGTGCAGGAACGCACATCTAGCGTTTTTTTAAGGGTACGTTCTTTCTTGATTTGTCAGTTTTGGAACAATAACAGGGGTAGTGAAATTATGACCACCATACTTTTTTCTTTTACCATTCATTATCTCTTTTATGGCAACCTGGCTGTCGTGAATAATTGGTCCACGTTATTTAAAGGAGCCCTGCAACACTTTTCTGATTAGCTATAGAATAGGATTCACTGAAGGTGGTTATTGCCTCACGAATTCACTGCTGCAAAAATATTCAGAATTCGTCCCATACAAACAGAGTGGCTAAGAGTTGTCTCGCGCTGCAGTTGCATTATCTCTTCTCTCGTCTCGAAGAAAGCGCTGGAAGCTAAGCGGGGGGAGGGATGGCATGTGGGAAGGATATGTCACGTGCGCCTCGTGACCGTGAGCACTTCTTTCTCTTTTTCTTCGAATGTGCGACTTCTCAGTGAATTAGGAATCCCAGATATGTACCCATACTATTGAATATTACCTAACATTCATACTCACGCCTACTATAGCTAAGGAGTGCTCACTCATGTTAAAACTCGCGAATACTCACACTCATTAGTAACCACTCACATTCGCGCTCACGACTACTCACACTCATGCGTACTCATTCGCATTCATAAGCACGCCTACTCGATCACCCTCATGTGGGGCTTACGTTTACACTCACACTCTGAGTGCTCACTCAGATCCACTCAGACTTACGAGTACTCACTCGCGTTCATACTCACGCCTAATCACACTGAGTACTCGTGTTGATACTCACTCCTACTCACACTGGGATGTGCGGCGACAAACACCCGTACCTTGTGGAAAAAGTGTATACACTGCATGTACCTCCTCAGAGCCCCCCACACCAACATGGCTGCAAAACATCCCAGACGCAAGACGGAGCTCTGGCCGTAAAAAATAGTGGTGTCCTCGTGAAATCGGTGTGTAGTTATGTTATGGTTGTCGCGTTTTGTGTCGGCAGGAAACTCCCACAGCTGCCATGGAGAAGACTGCTGCTCAGATCACACTCGACGACATACTGACAGTCTTCAGTGCCACAAAGACGGTCAAGAAGGTCGTGTCCAACCAGAAGCTCTATGTACCGCCCGAGCCATCGTCTGATGAGGTCAAAGACCTCGAGGCACCCAAGAAGGAGTTGTAAGTGATCTGTGTTTCTAAATTGCGCGATTGTCTCTTTTTTTCTGTGCAGTATTACCTTCCTGAAACGAAACCAAAACAGTGGCAAGCCTTTGCGAGGGTATAATGCCAGTCGTCCACTTTTCACTGTGGACAGGCACGTATGCAGAGCTGCCGAACAGGATGTGCGCACCCTTCGATGTTGATAACTGGATGGTGTATGCAATACCATCGGGAAGGCTTGTCGCTGTTCGGGTTTCATTTGATGCTGATAGTACATGACCATGCTTGCTTTCTTTTTCTCTCTCTTTACTTGTTCTCCCCTGCTCACTGTCGTCTCTCTTCTCACCCTCACTTCCTTTTGCACCCCCTTTCTAATCTGTGCCATATAAAGCTATGCTATGCACTTTAGCGTGCTTGGGTAGCCTAGTGGTTACGACACTCGCCTTTGGATTGTGCAGATGTGATTCAGTGCATGCCATTTATCTTTTAGCCACTTTGCGCGAGACAGACGAGGACGAAGTAAGGAGTGCACACAGACGAGCTTGCTTCGTCATTGTTGGTCTCACGTATAGTGGCTAAAAGATGAATTCTTTCTGACTAGGCTGGCTAACTAGGTTTTGCTGATTTATGATGGTGATAATTGTCTATCTACGATCCATGAAAAAGGCAGCCAGCAAGGAATGCAGAAACGCGTGTGTAGACAAATGAGGCCCTCAAAGGTGCGCAGCGTGCGTGCTCATCCGTATGTCCGGTCTTTCACTAATTCAGGATTTTTCGGCCTTGGGCTTGTCTGTGATCGGCCGTTTTCTGGTGGAGTTATCTGATTTTTGGCAGAGTCATAAGTAGCATGTTTAGCAAACTTAGGCACAAACTTTCTAAACTTTTCGAGGAGCAGGTTCTTCCAGTGGTTTCCCTAAACTGCACTGTCAGAGGCTATGTATTATGTAGAATGTGGCTTAAAGGGCCAGTAAACAAGCTTGTAATTCTTTTTACACCCCCCCCCCCTGACAAACAAGCTCGCCAATTCGTATGGTAGACCACGGCAATCGCATTTGCCGAACATTATAGCGCTGCACGCCGCGCAGACACTCCATTCTGAGAACAATCCTGCGCCTGTTTCCCTCGCCTGGCCAATCCCCCATTGACAAGAGCTTGCCCATGGGCAAAGTTACCCACCACTGAGCTCGTGGATTGGTTCTTTGCCCTATGAAATAGCGCCTTGGCTTGGCGGCAATGCAGTTTGAGCCGCACAGTCCGAATTTTTATTTTTCTGTGCTGCCCTCTGTCGTTTCGTAGAGCCCGAGACTCCAAGAAAAGCAGTATTGCCAGAACGGAAGCCTCCTAGATAGAGGCGTCTCGCTACTTTACCGCAAGTGGAAAAGTTCTCCTCGCACCCCTTTTTTGCCCTTACTGCTATAGCACGTGCTCATGTCAGGGATGGCCTGCTCGGTCATTGGTTGTGCGCCGATGTTGATCACTGATGTGTCGCGTTGCCGAAGTTAGCGGAGTCACGGCGACGGTGAGGGGCCTGCGCGAAAGTTTGAAACCTGCTGAAATGGATGTTCTAACCCCTGTAGCTTCCTCATTATAGCGCGTATTCGCGGAATTGCCGCAGCATGTTCACATAACAAAAGTGCCCATATATCTCTTCATTTTTTAACCTCTGGGTTGTTTACTGGCTCTTTAAGGTTTTGTTGCAGTTGGCTGCCGAAGGCATTGCCTACTAGTGAACTTTGTCGGTGTTCTTTGTGCAGTTACAGTCGATCACCAAAAGCGAATCAATTCCATGGGCACTTGTGACAAGACGTGATATCAACATTGAGAGCAAAACAAAGATATGCTGACTCATGCTTTTGAGGGGAAACTCTATTACGTTGTTACTAACAGAAAAGTTTACAAAAAGACGGCAGTGGATTCTTCTCGCTGTGCATGTAAATAATGGCCATAGTCGTTGAAGCAAGGGAGCAAGCGAATGTGTCATGGTGTCATGATTAATTGGTTGTTTCATTTCATGACTCATGATGAATCTACTTTTGGGGCATTACAATCGAGACTGGTTTGCATAGACAGGTGTTATAGGAAAATATTGTAGTTTGCTTTGACACTTGCCAATATTATATTGAAGGAGTAGGTCACTTGAGCCTATATTTAATTTGTAGTAGAAAGATTTCAACGCATCACCATCTACGAAGTTGCACTTTCCAGAAAGTGTTTTAACTTCTCACTGTTTCGAAGTGCAAGTCGCCTCTTGTGTTTTCCCCTAACAGCTCTCACGGTTGCAGTCGCGAACTCTCTTCTCCGGGCTGCTTAAAACCTTCTTCGACCTGCCTGTGTCGGTGAGCGCGGATTTGCTGGGAAAAAGTTCGCCACTTGCGTTTTAGCGCAATGCCGCCGAGGGGGTTGGGGTCTAGCGTGTTGTCGAGTGCCACACTGCGTTAAACTCAAAGTTGTCAGTTGCGCTTGTAATAAGTGAATTTGGGCTTCTTTATTGACCAAGGTGTTCAGAGAATTTATCATTCGCTTATCGTGTTCTTTGGGTTTATTTGCATTTTTTCTGCAAATGCTTTGGGGCTCCTTACATTACGCGCATCAGTTGAGCATTGAAATTCAACATGCTTTGAGAGAGTCGAGAAGTAATCATAACGTTAATCCATGCACTCTCAACGTTCATTTAACAGAGTGGAGACTATGTCAGTGATGTGATAGCTGCGCAAATTGCGCCTAACTGCACCAAGATGGGAAATCTGCTACATCCTGCTACATTTCCTCCTTTCTGCACCAAAACTGCACCTAATTACAAAATACTATCGAAAAAAAAAAAAAGACGGGCGCAGCATGTCGCCGGCGACAGCGCGAGATGAGGGCTGGCCTGTGACCTTCCAATGTTGAGAGGAAAATCAATATCTAGCCCAGGAGGGGAGTGGAGGGGGATACGGCCGGACGCTGATTTATGGGGAAACGCAGACAGTTGTTCCCAGACTGGTGTAAGCTAGCATGACCCCCCCCCCCCCCCCCCCGAGACTGTACCTTGGACGGAACGGCTTGTCGCGAGCCGGTGTTCGAGGTTCCGAGCTAATCGTGTTTGGCAGGCAAATAAAAGAGCAGCGCGAAACGGCTGAAAGCTAGAAGGGCAGTGAACTAGCAAACCAGTTTAAAACTTCTTTCTGGAGCCCTTTTTCTATGTGATTCTAAAATATCTACCCTGAAAACCGTGTAGGAGTGCTTCCGAAAATTTGCTTCACCCTCCTAGGTAGTGAAAATCCCTGTGGAAATCTTGGAAAAACAGCGATTTTCAAAAAAAAAAACTTCGCGATGGCGCAGCCTGGAGCTGGCTTCTTGGGCTCTCTGGAAAAAGTATTTCCCCATGTTTAAATTTTCTGCCTCAGCTGGCTCCTTCCTTTTAAAAATAAGCGCACTGTGCACAAGTGTTTCCCCAGGTCGCCACGCCATTGGCTCGATGCTCGCACCGGGAGATCGTTGTCTGCTGCTTGCGCGTCGCGAGGACATGGCTGTTGAAAATCGCTACTTCGTGATGTGTTCACGGCTCGACGATCACTTAGGATATAATTATGCTTTAGTTAGGAACTGTAAGCGGATGCTCAATCAGATTACTACGAGCGCGGTGCACCACCGGAGTCGTCTTTAGGCCTAACTCCGCTGACGGTGAGGCTAACTTTGCGGGCGAGAACGACTCGCTAGCGCACTCGTGGAAACGTGCTTCTTCGCAGGCAACGAAGCACATCACTCGCTAGCTCCTCGGAACTGAGGACGGGCATTTCATGCATCGGCAGCGGACCTCACAGTCGAGCTCCACTGCCAAGATTGCAGAGAACAGCGGCTAGCAGTTTCGCGCGTCGGCACTAAAAAATGCGATACCAAGCGCAGTGCGCGCCGATCGACAATTTTCGTCATCATAGTTACAGATCTCTCGGATCGTCACCAAACGCTGCCGCCAAGTGCATCACACGCCGGCTGCACTGTTCACGTGGTCGCGCCTTTCACAATCATATGGAGTGCTGTCAATAAGCTTTTATGAGGCAATTTAGACGTGCTTGGAGCCGTGCTTGGTATCTCTGCGAGCGTCTGTGAATGTTCTGTGACTATGAAAGCCTCATAGATTAACGTTTCCGCAACCCTTAAATACTGAAGCTCCTTAAGCAACCGCCGTGCTCACACCACGTGCTGGATTGAGACTCGAGTGTATCTGTAGTGCCAGTCCTTGCTTGGTGAAGGAAAAACACGACTCTCTGCAGCCCTTGACAAGATGTCAGGCAAGACGACAACCAACTAAGCAACAGCTCTTCTGCAATGAAAAAAAAAATGAAACAGTGTTGCTAGTATTCAATAAAAAATTCCATAGTGATTTATTTGTTCTTCAATAGTTACTGCTCTCCTACATTATATATGCTCTTCTATATTCAATAACCGTGTCCTACCAATTCGTAGTTGGTTGCATCACGTATTAAAAAATGCACTGGAAGGTATGAAATTAGGCTCGGTTAATATTCTTTGATGTTATGCTAGCATCTCCAAACAACCATTATTGCACACAACTTCATAATTCAAAACAGTTTCTCCTTAGTTCACTGCTTTGCTTCACACGGTCAGTGTCCCACTTGGCAGTGAGCCTTAATCTGCTCAAAAATGTATTTTTGGTTGCTTCAAAAGTCTTTTTTCCCCCTACAAAACGCATTTTTGGCTGCTCCAAAATCATCTTTTTCTGCTCCAAAATGCACTTCTTGCTGCTCCGAAATTTCGCTCCTAAACAGCTCAAGTCGTTCACATCACAGCTATGTTCAAGAGTAAATATGCGCATTTGTTTATAGCTGCTCATATTTTCATTGTACAACATAATTACAGTGAACCCTCACTTCATAAACTTCAACGGACGCAAGGAAATATTTCACTTGAGTCACAGTTGACTAAACTGAACATTCGATGTAATATGGAATAGCGTTGAGCACAGCGGATGTCATGTTGAAAGTTGCTGTGACATGAAGTCTCGCTACTTTCGAATACGTTCCACAGCTTCATCTATAGAGATGGAGGAGTTGAACCTGCCACAGCCATTACAGGTTCTCCGTCATACTATTCTTTTTTCTGTTTTAGACAAACAGTGGAAATGATTTCCGAACCTAAAAGCTTTGCACAAGTACTGAAGCGCATGTGGCTCGTTTTCATGCGCTGTGCAGTGGCTATGCCTGGGCAACGTCGCTTGCGCAAGCGATGCTGTGCAGCTGCCAATAGATGGGTGATTAGGGGGTGGCACGCATGGCTATGCCAGTGCTGCAGAGCAAAGGAAAACCGTTGGGATTTTTTAAGAGTTTGTTATTCTGAAATGTTTGTTGAATCGACGTTTGTATGAGTGAGAGTTCACTGTAGTTTTTTTTTTTTCAACACTCCCTTCATATTTGAGCAACTTTTCATTCTACAGTAGACTCTCACTAAACAGAACCTGATGCGACCAGGAAAATATGCTCTATTCAAGCAGAATTTAAATTCACTGAGAGATGAGCAAAAGTGCAGAATGCAAGTACGCAACCAATCTTGTCAGGAGTACTTGTTCAATTTAAGCAGCAGTTCTGTTTAAGAGATTTCCGTTTACCGAGTCTCTACTGTACTTGAAACCATGTGCTCAGATACGCGTGCACGTTACAGAACTCCAGGCGGTCAAAATTTCGGGAGCCCTCCACTACGGCGTCTCTCATAATCGTAGGGTGGTTTTGGGACGTTAAACCGCACATATTGATCAATCGATACTGTACTTGAAAGATATTTTCTGCAGTTAGAAAATTAACATCCCGCTTCTGTCGGGCTTCTTCGCAGAAGTTATGCTTACCTTTGGGCTTATTTCACAATGATTGGCTTGTTGGCTCAGTAGCATTTAGCATTGATTTAAGTAAACCCAACTGCAAAAGCAAACATGGCTTGTTGGTTCGTGACTCGGGTGGAGAAGGAACGGAATAAAAGATGGGACAGACAGGACTTTCATCTGTCCATTTCTTACACCTCGCCGCTTTGCGCTATTTTTCTATTCAAGGCTATAATTGTCAGCTAGTGCAGCTGTTGCTAGTGTGTGGAGTCTTGCATATTTTTCTGCCGTCATCCCTGCAGCGGAGAGCAGATAATGCAGCTATGCATTCTCTCTGTTCGCAAATGTAGAATTGAGCGAATGTAAACTGGAATACTTGGCCTCGAGGCGCAGTGATATTGGGCCTGTGATATTGTTTGTTGAGAGAAGAGAAAGCGATTTTAGCTGACTTTGAGAATTTGTTGTAAATTCTAGGTCACGTGATGCACTGTAATATTTTTTGCGCGTGTGTTCTTGGGAGCCTCGACTATCGATCAGCGTATTTTAACCGTGTCTAATAAAGTGTTTGCAGGGCTACTTTAAGCCGTGCAGCACATAGTCTGTAAGACAAAGTACCGATTTGTAGCGTGTTTACTTACGTATATGTGTCCATTTGTGTTTTTCAACTTGATGGATGGCTCTAACGTCACACTGTCCACTTTTCCAGTGCCAGAGGAACAGAGTATGCCAAAGAGTACCAAGAGAAGGAGCTGGCAATGTTGAAGGAGGTGCGTTTACACAGCATGTGTATCGTGGATTGAACCGTGCCTGTTATCTGTGTAAGCTTGTGTGAATATAGACTAACAGGTTGTTGGTTTGAGCTAGTTGGCACTGCATGATATCCTACTTCTTGCGCTAAAGTTGTGCAAATGGCGCTAAGCAGTTATAAAGAAAGGTCTTTCTCAGAAGCAGTTTATGTTGAGGCCCGTCCGTGTTTCGTCGGTTGTGTAAAAAATTTTGCACAAGAAGTAGGGTTGTGCGAATAGTAAATTTTAGGTTTGAAGTAAGAAATATGCGAGTATCCAAAACTTGGAGCATTTTCCAAATAGTGTTTGTTATTCAATTCGATTCACACTGGTATTTTACTACTGATAACTATTCGAACTTCCCAAAGAAAGCTCAACTTTAAATAGAAAATGACCCCTTGAGATTTTTTATTATGCTTCACCTCATTACAACTTAGTATTAGGCAAAGCTGCCTTTCAGGCTCCTTGTTGAATTTTTTGTACAGCGAATGTCCTAAATAAATGGGGTCTCCAGATTTTTATTATGCTTCACCGCTTCACAATCTAGCAGCGAGGCAAAGCTGCCTGTTTCTGCTACTACTGCAAACTTGTGCTGACCCACAGGTTGCGGGATTGAATCTCGGCTGTGGGGGCTGCATTTTCGATGGAGGATGGAAATGCTGTAGGCTCGTGTCAAAATTTCTGGAGCCCTCCACTACGGCGTTGCTCATAATCATATGGTGGTTCTGGGACGTTAAACCCCACATATCAGTCAATCAAATCAACGATTGCAAACTTATTGACAAAAAAATAAAATAAAACGCTGGTTTCAATATAGAGATGACAGATTTGGCAGAGGTGGGAGCTCACTACGATTGTGCGATCACGATGAATAAGCTTTGCTGCGAGTTGGTGCTTTTGTCCTTTTCATTATTTTACCAGTCTTCCATTTTTCATACGGTTCGAGAAGCTTCTCTAAGTGTTGGGTTTATTGTGGTTTTCCCTGTTGTTGCCGACCAGATGGATCCGGTGGAGCAGCCGGGTCTTTTTAGCAGTGCTGGTGATGCGACGGGCGACGAGCTCTCTACGGTGGCAGGGTCGGTGGGGGTCAGCCAGCTCCCCGCCCTGTCAGACCTGGTGGTGGAGAGTACCCAGCAGGTTTATGCCACCTACTGCCAGATGGCGCACGTGCCGAACATGGACCTGCCGATAATGGAGTGCAAGGAAGATGTAAGCAAAGCACCGCTTGTAAAACTTATGCTAGTGCGCTTCGAATGCAAGGGCTCTGTAAGTAGATAGGGGCAATGATCGCCGATGCGCTCGCATCATGCTATTAGTGGCCATCGGCAGTGGGCAGTTGCGGCCGGGTATCTGCAAAGTAAAGATGGCTGCTGGTGTGTCTTGGTGTCTTGCCTGAAGGGTTCCGGGCTAGCCGCACCTTAGAAACCCCACAAGCTATATTCACCCGATGAACCAAATCGAGATTCGAGCTTGCGGATTGCGCACTACATCACCATACGTCATCCGTTACAGTGTTCCCACTTCAGTCCCGGCGGCGCAACTTTGCGAAATGACGGAGGCCGAAATCACAGTTCGGATCCTCGGGAAGCAGTGCCGAAATCCTTGCTTGTAGCATGTATTCTCCCAGTGTAGTGAGCATGCTGGCTGCGGAGAGGTCAGAATTGCGTCCCATGTCACGTGACTGATTTCTCTGTTATCTTGTACATTGTTTCAATGCAGTTTAATCTGTGGGATGTTTTCGACCTTATTTTTGGAACAGTGTCGTGTGATGGAAAGTGATTTTCTGGTAAGTTATCTTTGACGATTGTCTATAAGCTGAGCAAGGCCAGCGTACAGCATCTGCCCAAGGAATTCGCAGTGCATCCTTAGCGACTATTTGCTCTTATGGCAGCAGCATCTTGGTCATTTAATCTCTACATGACTGAATTGTCTGCCAGTTTTATACGCATTTGCAACCTTTCAGCTATGTCTGTTGTACCTTGGCATTAAACTCTTTTATTCTAACTGCCTCAATGTAGAGAGCAAAATAAGGCACGTTTATAAATAAAGGCCATCTGAAGTAAAAATTGTTTCTCTATGAAGCGTATGGACGTAATTTTGTTTAGGTGTGCGAGCATATGAACATAATTTTATCTGTATGAGAGAGGATATAGATATAATTTTGTCCGAATAAGGCAGCATATGTACAGTGGAGGTCAAAATATTGGCAACCATGGGAGTGCGTGGCGAACAGCACTGTGGGGCTTTCTGATGGCTGCTTGCGAAGCTCTGACTTCTTGGCCAGTGATTTCGACTTGACCACGCATGACTGGATGTGGCTGGTCAAAGTATGTGCTAATTCTGTTAAATAAACAAGTACTTTTTGTTTGTGCTCCATTTGTTTTTGTATATATCGTTCACATTAGGACTAATGCACTGTTGCACATTATTTTGGATGTGTTCGCATAATCTCCTTAATTTGCTCACCCCCTTGCGGAGCTACAATATCTAAAATAAAAGTCCACAAATTATGTTTCTACAGCCAAGTCCTGTTATGACGAAGTTCGCTACAACGAAATATCTGCCACAATGAATAATTTCTGATTCTATGCAACAATGTGAAAAATTTCTCGTCACAGCGAATACTTTTCCTGGATGATTCCGGTTCAATGAATTTTTCGCGGGTACGGCCCTATAAGAAAAAGGAACTTTCCTACGATGCCGCAAATTTCTGCTACAAACTCGGCCATTTCTCGACGGCACGTGACATCCAAAGGGCACGGCCACATTGCAACAACAGTGTCTTCATCGGAGACACGCTTTTTGCCACCACACGCACATTTCACTAAATTTATTGCCGTTGAAATGGCCAGTGACAGCTCGCCCGTCCACCGTAATGCTGCCAGTGGATTTGATGTACATGCGGGCCGCGGCAGAGTCGCGGTCTTCGAGAACTGCCGCCTTATGTGTTCGACGTCGCGCTCAAAACAAAACTCCTTGTCATCACTAGCCCTGCAATCGTGCAAGACAACTACACGTCACGAAGGTGCTCACGCGAATAGCGCGCACCCAGGCCCAGTATTACTGCATTTTGCCGCAACTGCTGCGAACACAAATGCGGTCGTGTCGAACGGGTTCATGAGGGACCACGAAAGTACGTGCACAGTCAATTTGCACAAAGTCAGCTCAATATTTCTTGCCGTAACGATGGGAACAAAGATAGTGACGACGCATTTCTAAAGTCACGTGAGTGGTCAGTGCAGCGGGCACAGATTGAAAACGTAGCTACTGTTTGCCGCAACCGCTGTGCAGAAAACCACGGTCGCTATCGTCTTGTTCATAGATAGCAAATACGATCTGAAGTTGCGCACCTAACACAGCTGTAGATTAAAAGGTAATAAAGCTATAAAACAACACAAAGCGTTTCGACTTTTTTGTCGTTCACTTATGGCCACGGTTGTGTGGAGCTTCGTCACTTTCAGTTGCAATTTTCAGTTTGCCTCTAACAAAGCTTGGGCGCGCTCGTTCGCGGTGCTGCCGACCTCAAACCGCGAGAGGAAGAAAAAACTTTCCGCGTGTTGACGCAAGGCTGCCTTCTTTGCATTGCTGTGAAGCTGTGCCGTGAAGCCAACCTGCGCACCAAAATTCTTGTATAATTCACACTTCGACTTCAGCCTCACATTTTTCGTATATCCAGATCGCGTTATACGTGAGAAAATATGTTCATTCAGTGTTCGGCCAGGTACAGTGCAAGTTTGGGAGAGTTCAATGCATGCGCTTCTTGGGATCAACGACTAGTCGTAATCATCAGATGTTACCAAATTTTGTGGTTTATGGATGCCATTTCGCTCTAACGGAATTCTGCAACAATGAATTTTGTCATGTGTCCCATCAATTTTGTTGTAGTGGGGTTTCACTGTAAATACGGTATTTGTCATATGCACATTTATAGGCATGCCTGGGTTCTGCCTGAACTTCCCTCATTGTGAATGCCTGTTGAGCCTTGAATATTATGCGTACGTTTCATGGTGTTGGTAGATTCTGCGGATGATTGAGACGTACTCGGTGGTGGTCATCCGGGGAACCACGGGTTGCGGCAAGACAACACAGGTTCCCCAGTTCGTGCTGGACCACTGCGCCTCCATGGGGACCCACTGTAACATTGTGGTGACACAGCCGCGCCGCATCGCAGCCATCAGCGTGGCACACCGCGTCTGCCAGGAGCGCCACTGGACGCTTGGAAGCATCGTCGGATACCAGGTGCGATGGAGACTCCCTCCAGTGCCTCCACCTGAACTTCGGTCGGGTGAATGACTGCATACTGTTCAGGACCTCTGCGATGATCAGTTCTTTACTTTGAAATTTCTGCGTACAGTGAAAAACTTGTTTTTTTTATATCCTTGCTGTATTCGGAGCATAACATTACTGATTACATATTACATTTGACAAGGATATTACTTGTACGTTTTCCAAAAAATTGACTGAAAAAGGACAGAAAAATAACAGACAAGTTAACTTGAGTGCAGAAAAAAACAAAGTAAGCCCATGAAAAAGCCACATAATATTTGAACTCTGCCTTAAATAATGTTGCTCGGATAAGGTTTGTTTAAATAATATCAAGGTACTGTGTAAAAATTCACATGCAGTATATTCCAGGGCTTGCAAATAGGTGAAACATAGTTCTCGCTCTAATACGGACTGAGCAAAACGGTAACGAAAAACATTTATTCACACGCTTACTTATCATGGTCTGACGCACTTTATTCTGAAACTTCCTAGTCGGAGATGTCTTCCCATAGCACTTCATCATCAGTGCCATCAAGGGCGTTTGAAGTCGAGCAATTCTTGAAGGTACGATGAAGACCCAAACTTCGGTAATGTGTGTGCACAGTGTCCCTGACGAGGCCCATCTCAGCCATCAGGCAGGGGTCACAAGGGTCACTTCTGGTACTCCGGGCCTCTTGATGTGGTGATGAAATCCTTGAATGGTTTATTTAGGCACACGTCAAGCGTTGCAGCTGGCATGTCTTCTGACGACGAGTTGGGTGCGGGAGTCTTGTAGCAGTCGCTTCACGGAAGTGGCACCGAAACACGTCACGTTAAGTATTGATGGGGGGCCTTAGCAGTGCTCTATGGCTCCCAAGCGAAGTTTATCGGTGTTCGTTCGACATCGGAAAATGAGCCATATTTCGGCCGCCAAAAGCTCATCTGGCTGCTGCACACGGAGAGTGCGTTTCGCTTGGCCCAACTGCAAATGCGTCGCACGTTTACATCAAACTGCCGACCAGCAGCGCAGTTGCCAAGGGTTTGGCAGATCACCTTGCTTTTAAAGCAGCCGATTTCGCGGTCCTCATATACCGTATGACCGAGCCATCGGGAAGTAGGACTAACGCTAGCGCTACTGAATGCAGAGGCCTGGTGATGATGGTCGCACTGCGCAATGGTCGCACTGCGCAAAAGCAATGAATTCTTGGCTGAAAGTTCTTGGGATCTGCATATTTATTTTGCCCTCAGAGCCAAAAGGGATTACAGAGGCGGTGGGCTATTAAAAAAAATGTAAATGAAACAAAAAGCAGGGAATACGTCCTACAAATAAATCTCTTATATATAAAATACAATGTTTGCTAATACATTTATATATTTATACATATTAGCTAAACAACACAGTACCTAATTATACAGTGGGAGCTATTGTAAGAGCAACAACAAAAAAACTTATTACACAATGTTAGCTAATGCATATCTAATCAAGTTGTTATCACTTATAGCAACAATGTCACCGGGAAGTCTGTTCCACTGCTTTTATCTGGGCGGCAAAAATAATTGAAAAAAGTTTTTGTGTTGCATGAAGGGACGCCTACTTTGTGATGGTGGTCAATGCGGTGGGATATGTGCTGTAGGCGAAGAAGTGGTTGGTCATGCAGGAAGGGATGGTGGTACATGTTGTGAAATAGTGTTATCCGGGAGACTTTTCTGCGAGATGTTGAAAAAAGGAGAGCAAGAGAAGTTTTTATGGCTGAAATACTCGAGGTTCTCTTATAATTAGATTATGTAAAACAAACGGAGTTATTTTGAACAAGTTCAAGGGAAGTTGCCAGATTATTATAGATGGGGTCCCACACGGCTGTAGAGTATTCTAGTTTAGAGCGATTAGTATTTTATGAAGCTGCAGTTTTAAGCCATATGGAGTGTTAGAAAAGTTACGTCATAAATAGCCAAGCATGGGGTTGGCATTGTTCATGTTGTATTCAATATGAGGTGACCAGTTGAGATTAGTTATGTGAACTCCAAGATACTTATAACAGTTAACAGAATCCAGAGGAATGTTATTAAAATAGTAAGGTGGTGTCGAAGTAGAAGTTCTCGATATACGCCTGATATTGCACTTTTTAATGTTTAGGTCCTTTAGCAATTTTTCACACCACTTAGCTATAGCGTTAAGGTCAGACAGCAATATGTTAATGTCATTATCGCTAGTAATTTATCGAAAAAGGATGCAGTTGTCAACAAAGAGATAACTGTTATTTGATACAACTGGTGACAGGTCATTGATATAAAGAAAAACAGCAGGTGGCCTAAGACTGACCCTTGCGGAATGCCAGAGTGAACTTCGCGAAGAAAAGAATTATGACCGTTTGCAGTAACGAATTGTGATCTGTTAGTGAGAAAGCATTTAATCCATATTAGTAAGTTTTAAGCATTATCAGCAAGATTGGGTAATGAGCGTGCGGCAGCTCTCATCTCTCACGCGTATTTTGGCCCGCGCAGAGGAGGGGAGTGAACAATCTCTCGAACGCCCTTATCTCCCGGTGGAGAGGATCATACTTCTTGGCTGACGTTGGGCTTAGCTGGAACAATTCTGTTACGGGGTGCACTAAGGTCACTGCAGTCGTTGCACAGCCTCCGTTTGCGAAAAAGGCGAGCTTTTCAGGCACAGCGAAGTAACTACCGAGACACTTAATCACGTTCATCTGTGTACTTGTGAGTACGCTTCGTGCGTCATTTGTGCGTGAGAAACGCGGGGCACGTTTCGATCTGCTCGCCATTCTGCGCTTGGCCTTTCAATTTGTTGCTATCGCGTTCATTGCTTCGCTTTGGCGGCAAAGCAGTGACTTTTTCCGAGTTAGTCGTTCAGCTGCAGACATATGCCAGTTTGACTGCACTGAACGGGTCTAAAACCTGCTTAAAGATGTGTCTGGGAAGGTTGCTGATTCACTGTTACTCATGCCAAAGTTTGCTTTGGTATAGTCCCGTACTGCTTTCTTTTCTTTTATCTGCAATGGGACAGGGTGCGTTGAATGAAAATGATAGTAATGAATGATCACTGATGCCTGGTACATAGGTTATAGCGGTAACAAAGCCTGGTCGATTTGTTGAGATCAAATCAAGAATGCTAGCACTCTTAGTAGTTGCCCCAAAATGGTGACGCTAATTCTTGTGTCTGGGTAAGCACTGAGCGTAGGTTAATAATTTCATCCGGTTGTGGCAAGGACAATATTGAGAAGGGTGCGTTTGTGTTTCTTATTATACTATAAAAGCTAAAATGTCCGAGCAGAAATAGAGGATGTGGTGGAAATCGTGTCTAAACTATATTAATTGCGTTGTGAAGTTCATCGACAAATGTTGAAGGGGAAGAGGGAGAGCGATAGCATGTGCCTAATATTATCTTATGGTTACTATAGCCCAGACTAGCATCAGTTCAGTGTTAATATGGATACAAGAAGGAATATCTTTTGACACCTCTAGAAGAATGCTGCCTCTCCTGCGCATTGTTCGATCACAATGGTTTATGTGAAAATTATTTGCGTCTCGAAAGATTTCATGATCACAGACATTGCTGACGTCCCCCAGGGGCATATGTCCGGGGGTGGGGGGGCACGGACGAAATTTTGCATTCTAAAAACTAGCAGGGGAAAAAAAGAACCTCTGTACGTGGGCTTTTATGGTAATTTAATTTTTTTTTTCAGAAGTAATAGTTACATAATGTCATTGTTTTCTGCCAGATGTAATCTTAATGTAAGTTAATTATGCTTCGGAAGTAATTTGCTATATCTGCTTGGCTTGGCTCATCCCACATTGCCGGTGACTCGCAGGTCGGCATGGACAACCAGACGTCTTGCGACACACGACTGTCGTTTGTGACGACGGGTGTGCTGCTGGAAAAACTCATCTTCAAGAAAGATATGAACGATTACACGCACGTGATCATCGACGAGGTAAGCTTTAAGGGTGGAGGCTACCATCGTATGCCAACTTTTTTTTGTTTATTTAGAGATCTCATCAAAATTTTCAGGATATACTCGTAGCAAAGGGGTTGGAACTGCTACAAAATTTTGGGAAGTTATGTTCACTGATTCTCAAGTTATGGCGGTGTGTAAGAACAGTGCGCATGGTTTCTCTTCTTCCAGGCCTAAAGAGCTTTCAAAAGATGCTGGAACTGTGTAATTAATTATAATGATTCACATATGGATAGCACAGGGAGTGATGGAGCTCCTTCTGAATTTTCTCACTGAAAAGCTTTAGCAGACCGTTAAATTTAGTGTTGGTGATTAGAATATTATCAAATTTTGATTGGGTATCGTAACTAAGAGACTCAGTATATTGAAAAAATAGGCTTGTCTCCCCCTCAAAAATTTAGTCATACAAAATATAAAAAAGACTTATGGACATATGGTGGGTGGTTCCAGACATATTGCTAGAGCAAGTAACCTCACTAGCTGAAGAAGTAATTTCGGGGAAACGACATTTGAAGTTGTACCAACGATATTCCCAGTGATAGAAGTGCTGCTCCAATTGCTTCAAACTGCTTCAAAAGAGGAGTGTTGCTTCATGCTGCTCCAAAGTGCAATATTTGCTAGTAACTGCTCCAAACCTTCTCTAAAATGGTGTTGGCAAACTAAAATGAATGAAGTTGAACAATGGGACCATCCCGCGTGCCTTAGCGTAACCAAAGGCAAGCTGTATACAGTCGCCAACCGATTTTCCGGACTCCGAAAATTCGGACTTGTTGGATATTCCGGACTTCATAAATGCATCGTCAGGGATCCCATAGAGCTAATGCATTGTTTCGACCGATTTTTCGGGCGAATTTGCCCCTGAAAGTTCGATTTTTCGGACTAAATCGCTCGTTTTGTGCCACGCCCCAAGCCATTGTGAACGCTGCCATGTTGGATTTTCCGTCGGCTTGGCTAAGCTTGGTCTTCAGATGCTTTTCCTGTCTCCGAGATTGGAATGCGCACGCCATATTTTAAGTTTCGGAGGCCGTGTTTGCTTTTTAAAAGACGCGGTGATGGATGCCGTTTTTTCGTCTGCGGTCAGCACTATCGTCATCACATCGCACGGGGAGGAGGCGAAAGAAGGATTCTTTTATTGTCATTGCAGCTTTTTTCGGATTCGCTCCCAGGATTTCAAGCTGGACGGTTGTGCCCTCGCGATCTCCGACATCAGCGTAGCTCCCGCCGACTGGTTCGCCCTCCGCGGTCTCCTGATGCCGTGCAGCTCTCGCATTGTGGTGCCCCGCCCTTGGACTGTTTTGACCGGATCCCCACTTTCCTATCTCCTTCTTTTTTCCGTCGCTTGCCTGTCTTCTCCGTCTATTTTCCTTCTATTCTTTTTATCCCTCCTCCCCCCCCCACCCCTATAAGGCACTGCGCCGTGTCGCCTGAAGGCAGACAGAAATTAGGTGCCTTTTTCCTCTTCATTCTAACCACTACCACCACCATTCTGCACGTTTTGTGTCGCGTAGCGTCGAGACGTGTGCTTCGCAGCGGCTATCTGCGGCATCGAATTTTGTGTTCTCGGTGCCATGGCTCCGCCATCTGTGCCATCGCGGGAGCCAGGTGGTGTGAAGAAGCGTGGGAAGTATACGACCCTGACGGTAAAGAAGAAAGCTGCCATAATCAAGCTAATAGAGAGTGGACGTTCGCAGCTGGATGTCGCCTAAATATACCGTGTTGGCGATCTCCGCAGCCGTCGGCGGCGGAGATCGCCAACGCGGTGACAGTTTTGTCGAGCGTTTACGGCGACGATGTCACCTTGGCGCAAATACGGGCAAACCAAATTGCCTCCAAGCGTAGTTTGAGGCAAGGCAGCATCAAGGACTTTTTTAAACCTGCCTGATGCAATAAACTTCAGATTTTTGGCGAAAACGAATTTTTCGGACTGTTCGATTTTTCCTACTTTTTTTCGGTCCCCGCCAGGTCCGAAAAATCGGTCGGCGACTGTATACGCTATGATCCTAGTATGCAAACCAGTGGCGTAAATCCAGGAAAATCGCAAGGGGTGACATATACCAGGCCATGGTGGCCACTTCGTATTTTTACTATGGGTTGTATAGTTATTTATATGAGAACTAAATAATGCTTTCAAATAGAACTTCTTAAATTAAGCACGGTGACCCAGCACGAGCGATTGCATTGTTCTATTCAGACTTTTTTTTTTTTTCACATTTTTTCTATTTCCTATAGTCCACACAGTTGAGGGTCATTTAATACAGGTACGCAGTAACAGATAAAGAGCCTTTTAAAATGTTGATTACGCTATATTTATCTGTTAGCTCAATTATGTCACGTGTTCAAGCTAAATTTCAAGGGGGACACTTGCAAGGGCTGTCCTCCCCAGCCTGAACACAGAAAATTCAGGACTCGTTTGACCCTTCCTGCTTCCATGATTTACACCAATGATGCGACTATACCGGCTTGTATACTAGCTGCATACTAGCATACGACATGTTTAATAATGATTATAAATATTTATTAAATGCTTAAGTGATGTTTTAGACTACAGGAGTCGTTACGAAGATGCGTCTGTTCTGAAAATGCCTATAGCAACCATAAGCTATAGCTTTTTTTTTTCTGATCAAAGACAGAAGCTTGCTCCAAAGCACCATTTTTTTTTTTGCTCCAGAAAGCAAAATGTCGCTGCTATCACTGTATTGCATTTTCAAAAGGCATAAGGGTCATAATGTGTCAAGTTCTTTGCAATGTACAGTTTCTTGAACACACTGCCTTCAGTTTGAGGTGCCTTGTTTCCCTAAAACGCAAAAAGATTGTCACGATTGGAGTGTTTTTTGATGTCAAACCTCTAGCACATATGATCTTTCATCTGTTGTGACTTTTTTCCCTTTCTTTTTCCTTAAAATTCTTTTCTGACTACAAAGAACATGTATAAATTTTGAACTAAGTTTTTTTGTACCAAGTGGTGTAACAGACATAACAGAAAGTAAAATGATATACTTTAATTAGGCCATATGCTGTTTACAATACGCAAGCTTTCTTGTATTGACCCTGCCACTAATTTAACTAGCACTATTTATTGCATTTGACCCTTGAATCATATTTATTGGATACTAAGACTGAGATGTCCTCATCATGACAGTCTATTCCTTCCTCCCAAATAGGCTGTTATGGCCAAGACACGATACCAGAGCATATGAATTTGCTTCGATTAGAATTTAAATTACTGAAAATTTCAAAGTTTTCGCTATGAACGAATTCGTGCAAGTTAGTTCGCATGTAGCCTTCTGTAAAGGTGACGCTGCAGTGTGGGAGTGCTATGCCTTGAAAGCACCTATTCAAAGAAAATCTGCTCTGCCGCGAAGGCACCCTTCAAATTTATTGAACTGATTTAGCATGGTCAGATGATGTTGCCGATCGGTAGTCGAGGCTACCGTGAACATATGAGCCAAATATTATAGCGCAGCATGCGGCCTGCGATTCATAATAAATTTTTGGAATCAGCTGAAAATTGCCTCTATTTTCTCGGCTAATGACACGAACTGAAAAATGACTTGTCATAGCCATTCTCTGATTTGACATTGCACGCTTGGTCGTTTCTGGGGCTGTCGCGGGAGGCCGCCACTTGTCCACGCCTACGTGCGCGATCGCACAAGTTGGAGGGGTTACCTATATTTTGGTTTCTACGGTAGTTGCTTACGGCGAAGCGCACTTCGGCTAGTCCGCTAGCGCTAGTGTCCTTGCCCGCAAAGTTTGCATTCGTCTCGTATTGGCGCGGTGAGTGGAGCTAGCTAACGCTTAGCCAGAACTCCAAGCAGTAAGCTCAGCTGCGATGCCTGGCGTAAAAATGTCGTGTCCGATCACGAGTACAAAGAGCGTTTCCGGGATGGTCTATGTCAGGAAGTCCGAAATGCAGATAAGCAGAACCTATCAATCTAGGCGGGTCTAACGGGTCGGTTCGAGACGCCTATCTGCAGTGTTCGCGATGAATGCAGCGTTATCGCAATCTCGTAATTGAGCTTCCACTTGCAGTGGTCTCACAGGCCTAACTATGACACAATACTAAATGAGCGTCTATCATCACACGAAACAAGTGCACAGCCATTACCACTTTATTGCGCGATTTTCGACGGCTGTGACCTTGCGACGCACCAAGGCCTAAGCAGCAGATGTGCTTTCCCGGTTCGGCCAATGGTGAGGCGTGTTGGAGCACCATGGCGGCTTAGCCAATCAAAGGCCTTGAGACGACCTTTGGACATTTGCTTTTTGTGTGCTTGTTTTTAAAGGGAGGAGCCAGCTCAGGCGTGGAATTCGAACACGGAAAAATGCTTTTTCCAAAGAGCCTAAAGCAACGGTGCTTGTTCGTGCTGTTGCGGAGCTACGATTTCTTTAAAGTGTTTTTTTTCACCTCCACGATAATTCTCGCCACTTTATCAAGCGCAACAAATTTTTAGAAGTACTTCTAAGTGATTTTTAGTGGAGATATTTCGGAATCGGATAGAAGAAAAGCTGCAGAAACTGAAAATCAGATTTTCAAAAAATGGACTTTTTGCCCATTTTTCGCACTACGAAAGCACGTCTCCCCTTAGGATGTGTATGAGTGCTTCGGTTGGGTTTTTACACCTTTTCATTGGAACAGTTACGGATCCTTTTCGTAAAATGTAAAACTAGCTTTTATAAGATGCAGGCTTTTAATCTGATCGCAATGTAGTTGTTTGTGCAAATGGTGAATACTAGTGTACTTTTATCTGGGGCGCAATTCTTGATGTCTCTATCGTAGACTGTTCACTTTGGCCTCCTCTGATCGGCTGTAGCTTGGAAAGCAGTGCGCTTCCCGTTTCCGGTCCTTTTGCAACATCAGTTCCCAACTCTTGGCACAAATGAGAAAGATGGAATGCTTTTCGCCACAACGAACGCTGCCCCACATATCCACTTTTTTGGACGCACTTCTCGGAAGCTGTGCCCTTGAATTAGGTTTAACTCGGCCACTAGTTCGACGCACCTGGATGGTTAGTACGCATTCCCTGCACCATTCTTGAACACTTTTGCTCGTTCGTACGCAAGTTCAGACTTGCAGACGTGCCTGTTACCGTACTATCGACGTCAATTGAAAACCAAACGGCGGCAAGCCTTTGCAATGGTATAGTGCGCGCCGGTCACTGGTGATCATTGGACTGCGCGCACTCTACCATCGTGAAGACTTGCTGCTGTTCAGGTTGACGCCGATAGTACATCTCATCCACTTTCCGTCTTTTTATGCTGGGAGGGTGCTGGCAACTTTGGTGTGCAGACGTGGCTCAGGAGCGTCATGACGGCACAGCTTGCTGCTTTTTCGAGTAACTGAATGTGCTCTAGTGAAGGAGTGTCCACAAAATGGGCACATCTGAATAGCTCTCCTGCACGCTGGGAAGTGAGAAATGTAATCTGTTATTCTCGCAATATGAACATTCATAAGACAGGCGCCAGCATGGGTGACGAGAACTTTCCCTTTACTTGAACCACGAAAGTTGCTCAAGTTAGTGAGGGCTCTCTATTCTCTTTTCTTGTTTCTTTTTCTGAAAAAAAAAAAAAAAATATTTTGACTTTCTTCTGATCAGGTCCACGAACGAGACCAGGAAACGGACTTTCTCTTGCTCGTGGCGCGCAAATTTTTGCGGACCAACTCTCGCGGTGTCAAGGTGAGTTAGTTTACGAATTTTTCAGAGCCCGAGCGTGCGGAGTTCTGCGATTGAGTAATTCCAGATTTCTGTGGTTTTACATGGTAATATTTACAAAACGAAGAAATGCTCAAGAATCGAGACATAAAATAAACCGTCATGTTTACAGTGCAACTATGCGTTATGGCGGCGTGGGTTGCAGGGATGGGGCATACAATGCATAACATTTATTCAAATAATGAAATAAATAATCTCATTACTTCTGTAATTGGAGTGCAGTGCACACTCTTTTAGAGCAACTTGACAGAACTGTGAAAACTTGTTTGGCTTGTCGGAAGTGCCCGCCAATGAAACTTTAAGTGCATACAAATACATTATGCATTTACAAAAAGGCATTCAACTGTAATTGTCTGGACAATTTTACACCTTGGTACCTGTGTTGTTACCCGGGTAACCTCTTTTTCTTTCAAGAGAACTCTGTAAATCTGTGCCATGTTTTCAATCTCGCTTCTGTGGTGAATTAATTGCAGATCATCCTCATGTCGGCCACAATCAACGTGGACTACTTTGCGGAGTACTTCTCGACATCTTTGCTTAACCGGCTGGAGCCAGCGCCCATCATTGAGATTCCAGGCAAGATGAAGGAGGTGCGGGAGTACTACATCGACAGCCTGCGTACCCTGGGCGAGGTGAGCACTCTTTAGGCTATCACCTGGCGTAATCAGGTGCAGTTCTGGTGGAATCACGAGTGAGCACTCTAGATGCCACCACAAGATGTTAGTCATCCTCAGTTCTGGTGGTGTTGTGGATAGGCACTCCTGGTTCCGTCACCAGACCTTGTAGCCAACTGCTGTTGTGATGTAGTTGTGGATGAGCGCTCCTGGTGCCGTCAGCAGACCTTGTAGTCAACTGCCATTCTGGTGGTGTTGTGGGTGAGCACTGCTGTTTCCATCATGAAACCTTGTTGTCAACTACAGTTATGATGGTGTTGTGGTTGAGCACTGCTGTTTCCATCATGAAACCTTGTTGTCAACTGCAGTTCTGGTGTTGTTTTGGGTGAGCACTCCTGATTCCATCACCACATATTGTAGACAACTGCAGTACTTGTGCTGTGGGTGAGCAGTCCTGGTTCCATCATGAAACCTTGTTGTCAGCTACAGTTATGATGGTGTTGTGGTTGAGCACTTCTGGTTCCATCACCAGACCTTGTAGCCAACTGCCGTTGGGGTGTAGTTGTGGATGAGCACTCCTGGTGCCGCCACCAGACCTTGTAGCCAACTGCTTTTGTGGTGTAGTTGTCGATGAGCGCTCCTGGTGCCGTCACCAGACTTTGTAGTCAACTGCCATTCTGGTGGTATTGTGAGCACTCCTGGTTCCATGATCAAACCTTGTCAAGTACAGTTATGGTGGTGTTGTCGGCTAGCACACTTGACACTGTCAGTAGACGTAGTGATCAACCATGGCCCCGCCGCGGTGGTCTGGTGACTGCTGACCCGCAGGTCGCGGGTTTGACTCCCGGCTGCGGCGGCTGCATTTTCGATGGAGGCGGAAATGTTGTAGGCCTGTGTGCTCAGATTTGGGTGCACAAAGAACCCCAGGTGGTCGAAATTTCCGAAGGCCTTCACTACGGCGTCTCTCATAATCATATGGTGATTTTGGGACGTTAAACCCCACATATCATCATCATCATCAGTGGTCAACCGTGTTTTTTGTTGGAATTGTGAGTGAGCAGCCGAGATGTTGCTTTGCCAAGTGTGAAAACTCGATTCAGGTTCCTGGTCAGAGTGGTCAAGTTTTGATATCAAAAGGCAAGAATGTTTAATAGAAGATTAAAAAGAATAGCCCACTTAATCAGCTTGCAAGTTTCCCACTGCACCAGGTGTTATAATTATATCTTCATTTAAGCATCTAGGACTGACAAATGACTTTTTTATACCTTATGTCAGTGGGGCCATTAGCAATGTTGCAGAGCTGTACTAATTACAGTGTCTCTATTTACGGTAGACAACTGTATTGCATAATCTGTGGTTTTTGATTGAATGCTTTGCTGAGCTGTCTCACTTCCTTTTTCTCCTGTGACTCATTGCAAACAGCTTCCAGAGTTCAATGCGAATGAACCCGGCATTGCACCAGAGTCGTTTCGCATTGCCCAACGACTGATCAAGATCTTTGACAGGATCGAAGTCATGGAGCAAAAGTAAGTGCATCACTTCAACACGGTCTGACGCACAATTTGTAGATCTTCCTTAAATAAATGTAATGGGGGACTCTGGCACTGCGATCATTCAGTCACCATGGAAATGATGGGTTGTATGCATATTTGCTTAGTCTTCATGCTCGCTGGCTTCGAACGCATTTGTGGCTTTGTTTATTGCTGTTTTGGTTTTGTTTTAAATAACGAAAAAAAAAAGGATCGTTGGGAACTTCACGAGCCAATTAGGATTTGTGAGCCTAAAAGGTTACAGTGGCAAAGTGTAACTGATTAACATTTGCCGATTGTTGTCTCGTGACACAGCAGATACAAGTCAAGTGAAGACAAATGGAGCCGAAAGTACGAAGATCAGATAAATTTGTGTACTACCCATAATTCCCATGTTGCTAAAGCGCTGTGGGGTTCAACTCCCATAGACACTAGCGCCAGGGTTCCCTATAATGTATTCATAGGAATGTCGGTGGTTTTATTGGCTAAATTTTGCGTTTCTGTGAAGCTTGAAGCGAATTAGCGCCTTGACAGTAATAAACTTGTGGGAATGGGCCAAGACTGATGTTTTTTGATCAAGCGACTGAATGAACTGTGCCCGAAGTGAGCTTCTACCAAATTGAATACCAGAACAAATGCCAAATGGTACTTCTCGTAAAGTTTGGAGAATAGCAGTTTTGATAGCGGCAAGTGCAAACTTAATATCAAAAAGTTTCAGTGAGTACATTGTGCTTTGGGAAGTTTTGCTTACGAAAAGCACAAAAAACTAAATCAAAGCAAATAAGCAGTCTACACATGTCATAGAGTTTCATACAATAATACCTAGAGAAATATCTGGCACTGCGACCGTATGCCCCCATAGGAATTATGGGAAGTACAGGCTTCGGATTGGATTGCGTTGTCAATCACAGTGTCAGTTTCATTCTTCGCGTAGTGTGCGTAGTGGGGCACAGTGCAAAGCACTAATACAGTGTCCTTGTTGTTCGGAGAGGCTGAAAACCGCTAGGTCTCTTTATTTGCTGCAACGTTGGAGCTTTACAAGATGGTTTTAACTGTTTAAGCGAAGCGTCGTCCACTCACTGCTGCGCTTAGATGTAGCGTCCCATGCCAGTGCTCCTCTGACTCGATGTCCGAACAAAACTAGAGATGCATTGGGAACAGACCACTTGGACAGGCGATTTGTTAAGTGTTTCTCGCTCAATACTGTACTGCTATTTCTGAAAATGGATAATGCGTACTTTCGAGGGAAAACAAGAATTTTTGTTTTGAAGTGGTGTTAGAAATAATTCATTTGGCCTGGAACGCAATGGCAAAACAGTGCATACCCTGGTAGTTAAATTTGCCCAGGTTTCACTTCTACTACCTGGTTGCGAAAACTTTTTGCAATAATGCTTGCGCACATGAGACATAAGCAAGTGTCAGTTAAGTATAACTTCGAAGCGCTTTGTTTTACACTCGGCAAACAAGCGTCGCGTATCTCGGGAACGTGATCCATTCGAAGCAGATCCGAAGCCTGTACTTCTCAATTCCCACGGAGGTACAAGCACCGCTGAAGGAGCTCGCGTTGACACTAACACGAGATTACCCTCTAGTGTGTGAAACTTTGACACATGTCAAGTGTCTAGTTTAGGTTTCAGTGCATAATCTAGAAACATTGGTGGCACTGTTTTCTTGTATGTATGGGTGTTGTGAAATTAAGAATTCATCTGCTTTGTTGAGTTATGGTGGCTCTATTCTTTGCGGCCTCAACTTCATGCTCTTTGCTCTGCTCCCATAAGACCTGTTGGTGAATATTTTAATTTTGTCTTGCATTATTCGAGTCGCGACATTATTGCAATGCATTAATTTTTCATATGTATAGTATGTTTGAGTTACTTGGTACTTTCTTGAAACTGTTATGGGGTAAACTTAACAGATGACAGATAAAAGAATGTGAAGCACTTGTGTGTGTCGCATTCTCTTGCCTGTCGTCTGTTAAGTTTGCACTATGGCAGTGATGCTACTGCTGCGCTAATTGTGCCAAACTGCACCAGAGTGCCCTGGCTGCTACATCCTGCTACTTTGCCTCAAAATTTGGAGAATCAGTGCCAAAACCTGCGCCAAAGGGTGTTTTCCGCCTTGCAGAAACAAAAATTAACTACAGTAAGCTTTCATTAAACAGAACCTGAAGAGACCGGGTAAGTATGTTCCGTTTAAGAGGTGTTCCGTTTACTGAGAAATGAACAAGGGCCAGAATACAAGAACAAAATTAATCTTGTTGGAAGCACCTATTCCGTTTAAGCAGCAGTTCCATTTAATAGATTTCTGTTTACTGAGAGTCAACTGTACTTGCAGTTCTTCTATTGAAAGTGATGTTGCCGTGGGCTCTGCATACGACATTATCTGAGCCAAGTTTAGCTGAGCAAAAGGTCGCTGTTGCCATACCGTTAATGACCGCTTTCACGGACTACTTAGGGGCCATGAAACCATACGAAAATATTAATTCATGTTGTTTTTATCTCACTCTAGCGGTCAGATCACCACAGCCACCGCTGAAATAGTGTCAGTGCCTCTTGGTAGACTTATTAGGCATTTTGGTGCAAGGCCAGGTCTCGTAAAGGCATTAGGAACTTGCTGCGAACCCCGTAACCACGTGCCAACAACCCGTTGCAAATTTATCTCGTAATGAGCGCTGCCGATACCATTGACACGCAAATTAAATTTTGGCTGTTGTGCGTGGAGCATTCGAAAACGATGACTCGGCAAACATAGACCGAAAAGTGGATGACTCGTTCAAATTGTTGGGACTTCTCCGATGCGTGAGTGCGTGCCAGTTTACAATGCAAAATCTCTGCCGACAAGCAACGTTTGCTGCTGCGTGAAGCTGGTCATTTCCAGTTGTGTGCAGCACATTGCAAACTCAGTTGTCGTGGTTACTACCGGGGCGCTCGCTGTGCCCCAGTAGTAACCGTGCCAACTGAGTTGGCAATGTAGGTAGTAGCTCTCTTTTGGCATGAAAGTGTTCTTGATGCCCACTCCTTTCCTGAGAAGCACATTGATGCAACGATGACAAGCTGCCTTCACTAGTGAAGTAATGTCGCACAAGGAGGCGGCTTGGCGCGGTGCTTTTGGGTTCTCACTTCTTAAAAGCATGCAGTGTGCTTACAACTGGGCCAGGCCTTATACCCTACCGAGCAGTTAACTGAAGATGCTTATCATAAAGGGATGTTAGCTATGTCGTACTGGCACTTTCCTGCATTGGTGTCGTCTTGCCTCTGTGTCACTTTGGTGCCTAGCAGTGAATACATTGCCGCACTGCACTGTGATAGCGGCCTTGTTTGATTTCCAGTCTGATTCTCCCCATACCACTTGAGCATTGCGGCAAAGCTGACTTTTCAACATTGCTTTGTGGCAAGAAAGTTCTTTATTCAAGTCCATCAAATGGTAGGCATAGCAGAGGTGAGGGTTTAGGTCATGCTGTTTCGGACCTGATATGCGAGTGGACAGTCTGGAAAATATATTTACAATACTGTGCTTCGGGCAGTCTGAAAAAATTCGGGCAGTCTGAAAAAATGAATGCAAGCAAAAAAAAAACGCATTATTTACTGATCATTTTCAGTGCAAGCAAAAAAAAAACCCGCATCATTTTGCTAATATTTCTCAATTCAAGCAAAAAACGCACCTTTTTATTGATATTTCTCGGATCAAGAGGGTCAAGGTCGAAGTACCAGACTTCCGGAACTCTGCCAAAGCATCAGTGGGATGGCTCTGAAAAGAGCCGTTAAAGAAAAATGCATGCAGCCGACAGCGGGTGCCGTCAGGGCAGCCGGTGTTGGAGCTGCAGTGGCTTGAAAATCTTGTTGATCTTTGTTTGAATGGCGTTCCGCTTGCATGTGGTCACATTCGCCTCGATCTGAGCAAGGGTCATGTCATCACTGTACACCGATGACAGCGTCATCAATGCTTGCATCAATTCGGTGGTCGTAGGTGGCGCAGGCGTTGGTTTCTCTTTTTCGACATCGGAGTCGTGCTCGTTGTCAGAAGTCGAACTCGTTGCCAGCGTTGACAAACCGCTCAAAAGTTATTTCTGTGGGCATGGAAGCACCAGCAAAGCGAAGGTCGTTGATAGTATGGTCCATGAGAGGGCACAAGTCAGTCATGCTGTCGCTTTCTTCAGGCAAGTCTGCTACCTCTGTGTCGAGTACGAAGCCCGCGTGGCGAAAGCAGTTGCGAAGTGTGTCTTGCGTTACTGCCTTCCATGCATCCGAAAGCATTCCGACAGCAGACCAAAGGTCAACGCTGTAGCCTTTCCCGTTTTTCGAGCACAGCACCATGCAGTTGAGTATACATGAACGGTACAAAAGTTTCAGATTATGGATAACGCCTTGGTCCATCGGTTGGAGGATCGCAATCGTGTTGGCCGGCATGAATTCCAGTTAGATAGGCTTCAAGTTATTGATGTGACCATGAGCAGCGCAGTTGTCAACGAAGAGCAGAACACGTCTGTTCTGTTGTTCAAACTTTTTGTCCAACCTGTGGACATAACTCTCGAACAACTGCTGCGTTACCCATGTCTTTTTGTTGGCTTCGTATAACACCGGCAGCGTTGCCCCTTTAAAACACCTCGGGCTCTTGGACTTCCCGATTACTAACAAAGGAAGTTTCTCGCTGCCAGACATGTTGCTGCCGACAAGAACGGTCAGCCGTTCCTTGCTATGCTTGCCACCATGACATGCATCACCAGCAAAGTTCTTCTTTCCGGCAGCAGCTTGTAAAAACAAGCCGGTTTCGTCGCAGTTGAAAATGTTGTCAGCAAAGAACTGCTGCAACAAAGACTGGAGTTTTCCCACTGCGGTACTGCGCAATAACTGCATTGTCAACGGCACCGCTTTCGCCACACATCTTCTTGAACTTGAGGTCATTCCGATGCTTAAAGTTTCTCAGCCATCCATCACTGAACTTAAGGGGGCAGACTTATTATATACACTTTTTCCTTATTTCTTCAGTGATCTTGATGA